CTTAGCCACTTGAGCCACAGGCACCAAGCCTTTTTACCCTTTCCTAAGGAGGTTGATGTGATCTCCCAGTGGCTGCCAGCAGGTTTGAATTCTCATCCTCTCAATGCAGGCCTCCCCTGAGACCTTTTGGAAGCCATCATTGTTTCTAATAGATGGTGAAAATCTAAAATCCACATGCCTCTGTCATCTGACTACGTTAGGACTCTCTTGAAAGAACAACCTTTCCAAGACTTGGTCGGTCCTGCTAAGAGACCAAGACCTTCGTCTTTCCTGCCACTTCCAGCTCTGCTCCTTCCCCTCTCCTAGGACATTATGTGAGCCCCATGGTAGACAGAACAATACCCCACTGAAGATATCCATGTCCTCCTCCTGTAGCCTGTGAATGTGCTCGTTTACATAGAAGAAGGACTTTGCAGATGTGAGTTAAGGTTTTGGGATTGGACAATCTGCTGAATTTACTGGGTGGGCCCCATGTAAGCACAAGTATCTTTATAAGGGGAAGGGGGAAGCAAGATCAGAGAAGGAGACATTATGATGGAAGCAGAGGATGGAGTGGGAAGAGCTCTGCAAGCCCAAAAATGAGGGCGGCTTCTAGGACCTGGAAAAAACCGAGAAACAGACTCTCCCCTAGAGCTTCCAAGAGAAAATGTGTCCCTGTCAAAATGCTATTTTTAGCCTTCTAAAGCCCATTTTTGGACTTCAGACCTCTAGAAGTGGCAAATAGTAAATCTGTGTTGTTTTAAGCCTGTAAAAGTGTGTTAATTTCTTATTAGCAGCTATAGTCTCTTAAACCAACCCTTCCTCACCACCCTGTGACCACTGGTCATCTCCTGAGACTCATTTTCTGTTCATCCGTCCTTCCCCAGACTCTCTGCCTGCTCTGTGCCTCCTCTGATGAGCCGAAATCCTCCTGATCCTCTCCCCTCCAAAACTTTCCACTACCTTCTCTGAGCTTCCCATTCACTTCTGCAGAAACTCTCCTGTGTTCTTGGACTCCATCAAATGCTTCCCCTGACTGCTGGCTTGTCAAATAAATGCTGTTTCCTGCAGACACCAACATCTTCGAAAGTCCCTCACGAAGATGCTTTTACTTTTCTTGCATACCAAGTGAAAGGTACTGTTACCAAAATGTTACACAGCTACCCTTGTGGAATAGCCCCTGGCCCTTGCAGACTACTCATGCTATTCGGCCAGATCACTCTTGGCTTCTTGTCACTCTATCTTCCAGCCTCGTGGCAACTCCCCCCTTATTTACTGAGGATTTTAAACCTGGATCACGTATTTGGATCTCTGCACCTAGCCCTGCTGTTATTTTCGGAGAACGTTATTTGAGAATTCTTGAGAGTGCTCTGTCCCAGCCAGTGCATTTCTTGATTTCTTTCTACTCCGATGGCCTTGACCTACACTTCCCTTCAGCCATTAGTGCCAAGGGCACATTTTGGGCCTTGTTGTCACTAAAAACTTGTCTGCCTCTGAGATCCTATATTCAAATATTCTATAAATGGGTTGAAACATTAAAGACAAAAATAATCAAAGGAGTAGGGCTCAAAGGAGTAGGGCACCAGCCCCATATGCCAGAGGTGGCGGAGGTGGCGGGTTCAAACCCAGCCCTGGCCAAAAACTGCAAAAAATAAAAAATAAATAATAATAATCAAAAGGTATGATCTAGCCCTACCATACCCATCCCAAAGGAGGCATCTCTCATGATCAGTAATGTCCGATCAGCTCGTCCTCTTGTGACCCCTAACTCGGGAGATGGCAGTGATTTCCACACATGTGTCCAAGGCAGAGGCCTGGGCACAGTTTTTAACTCTTAACTCTGCCATTCAATTTCCACACCTGATCAGCTGCTATATCCTCTCGAAGCTACTTTCTAACTTTCTTTAAAACCTTTCTGTCTCTCCCCAGCCCCACCATCACTACATTAAAGAATCTTTCCTCTGGATTACTGACGACCTCTAATTGTTCTGTTTCCAAGCAGTTCCCTCCAAACCCAATTCTTTCCATTTTCCAGATTAATTTTGCTCAGTGTCACTCATGTCCAGGTTATTCTGCTCTGACTCATGCCTCCTTTACTTATCTGATGGCACCACATCGTCTTCAGATCTTAGCTAACCTATTACTTTTTCTGAAAAGCTTGGCTTTATTCTCAACCCTGCCACCTCATCTCATCACTGAGCAAGGGCCCTCTTCCACGAAGGAACCTGTACTTACATCTATTCTAGCACTTGTCACCTTCTACTGCAAATGTCTCTGTGTTTATTTCTTTCTCCAGTCCATTGATAAACTGCTGGAGGAAGGGATATGTGTGTTTTCCTCTAGAAACCTCAGGGCATGACACACTTTTATTGAAGTGACAAATTAGGTCAAGATTTGTATTGCTAAGTATAGTCTCTTCTTTTTTATCACCTTTACTAATTTAGGGCAGAGAATTGCAATAACTATGAGGTCTCCCAGTTTTGAAAACTGCCTGCAGTTTGAGAACACTTTTTTTTTTTGGCAGTTTTTGTCCGGGGCCAGGTTTGAACCTGCCACCTCTGGTATGTGGGTCCGGTACCTTATCCTTTGAGCCACAGGTGCTGCCTGTGAATCCTTATTTTTTAATTAAAATCATAACTGTATACATTTATGGGGTACAAAGTGTTGATTTGATAAACAATTTAGAATGCTTAAATAGAACTGATTAATATAACCATCACCTCACTTATTTTTATGGTAAGACATTTAAAATGTACATTAATTCTATACCCTTGCATTGTGCACATTTGGTGAGAGATTACCACATGCCCTCCCTCCTCCCACCAATTGCCCTCCCTCCTAACCTACCCTCTCCCTCCTCGCCCCTCCCCCTTGCTAGACTATATTTGTGTTTTATCATTTGTATGAGTGTGTAAGTGTTTATATGTTGGTTTCATAATATTATTGAGTACATCGAATACTTTTTTCCCCCATTCTTGAGATACTTTACTAAGAAGAATGTGTTCCAGCTCCATCTAGGTAAACATAAAAGGTGTAGTCTCCATCATTTCTTATGATCGAATAGTATTCCATGGTATACACATACCACAGTTTGTTGATCCATTCTTGGGTTGATGGGCATTTATGTTGCTTCTACGACTTGGCAATTATAAGTTGAGCCACAATAAACATCCTGGTACAAATATCTTTGTGGTAAAATGATTTTTGTTCTTCTAGATAGATACCTAGTAATAGGATTGCTGGTTCAAAGGGAGGTCAACTTTTAGTTCCTTGAGGATTCTCCATACTTTTTTCCATAAGAGCTTTAGTAGTTTGCAATCCCACCAACAGTGTAGAAGTGTTCCCTTCCTCCATATCCATGCCAACATCTGTAGTTTTGGGACTTTGTGATGTGCGCTAGTCTTACTGAAGTTAGGTGGTATCTCAGAGTGCTTTTGAGTTACATTTCTCTGATGATGAAAGATGATGAGCATTTTTTCATGTGTTTGTTGGCCATTCATCTGTCATCTTCAGAGAAGTTTCTGTTCAAGTCTCTTGCACACAGAGAAATGGGGTTGTTGGTTCTTTTCTTATTGATTAATTTGAGTTCTCTGTATATTCTAGTTATCAGACCTTTGTCAGAATCATAACCTGCAAAAATCTTCTCCCATTCTGAAGGCTGTCCGTTTTAGTTGTAGTGCCCTTAGCTGTGCAGAAGCTTTTTAGCTTGATCAAATCCCAGTAATTTATTTTTGGTGTTGCTGCAATTGCCAGGGGCATCTTCCTCATAAAATATTTTTCCCAGGCCAGTATCTTCAAGCATTTTCCGTGCACTCTCTTCTAGTATTTATATAGTTTCATGTTTTAAATCGAAGTCTTTTATCCAGTGAGAATCAATTTTTGTTAATGGTGAGAGATGTGGGTCCAGTTTCGGTCTTCTTCAGGTCACTAGCCAGTTTATTAAGTAGGGATTCTTTTCCCTAATGCATGTTTTTGGTAAGCTTATCAAAGATCAAATGACAATATGTGGCTGGGTTAAAATCTAGATTCTCTATTTTAGTCCATGTGTCTACATCTCTATTTTTGAGCCAGTACCATACTGCTTTGATCATTATAGATTTGTAGTATAACCTGAAATCTGGTAGCATGATGCTAAGACCCATCCCATCTAACCTTCTCTGATTCTATTAGTTTAGGTAACTCACTGGACGGATAGAAGTATCTCACTCCTTGTTTGCCTAAAGCAGTAGTTCTTAACCTTTCTAATGCCTCCTAATACCGCAACCCTTTAATACAGTTCCTCATGTTGTGGTGACCCCCAACCATAAAATTATTTTCATTGCTACTTCATAACTGTAATTTTGCTACTGTTATGGATCATAATGTAAATATCTGATATGCAGGATGTATTTTCATTGTTACAAAGTGGTCACGACCCAGAGGTCGAGAACCACTGGCCTAAAGCCTTAACTCAGCATTTTTAGAATGCTGTACCATGGAAATCTAATTAATTGAAAGAAATGTTCCTGGCCAAATAATTTTGCAAAATGAATATCATATTGTCCTTTTAGAAATGCCTCATGCATATACCCATATTAAAGGCTCTGACAAATAGTACAGTAACTTAGTATTATGAAGATGACTGTTTCTCAGGTTAATTTGTCTACAGACCAGATTCCCTCACCCCCTGTGGAACACCCATTAACATATCATGAACTCTGATTTGAGGAAACATGGGTTGATTGGTTAACACTTTGCTAGTGGTCAAAATGTTCAGCCAAAGGATCAAGAGGTCCAAGAGCACCACCTCCCTCTGGTACTGCAGGTGCTAAGTATTCACCCTCCAATGGGAGCGCAGGCTGAGTAGACATGCATGGTAGTCTGAACAATTGTGATCTGGAGATTTCTCATGAAATCACATGTTCACTGGAACAAATTCAGGACACTACAGTGATCCTAAAAACTCTATCTGGCCTCCCAAATTATAATTTAATTGCAAATCTTTCAGTCTTAAAGGCATAATCATGCTCTAAAATTTTCAGATGCTGAGCCTGGAGATGTGTGACTCACACAAACAGCCTGACTCAACACCAACGGAGAGCAGCCAGCTATATTCAGGATAGGCTCGCTCAGCGTGGCACGGTGAGTTTCCAGAACAAACACTGCCTCTTTCTTGGCATTCCAGCATGCACTAATTCACTGCATTTGCCAGAATAAATGCAAAAGGCCTCAGTCACACTCTTGGTACAGCATAGACATGCTCAGCATCTATGGAGCAGGCTGGGGATGAAACGAGGAAACCCTTCTGGGCGTAGCCGTAAGGTCAACAAATTGGAAAAAGCCACAATTCACCCTTGGGAAGGATTAAATACTCTGACATCCTCCAAATTGATTTACCTAGATCAGACCACATGTTAATGAGGAGGCAAGTTACTCTAATTCATTGTTACTATTCCAAACGCTGGGGCCTTTTCACATTAAAGAGGCGGGACCATGGATTCAAATGAGCACCAACACATAATGGCTTGTTACTCTCCCGGCCTACTCCAGTGTCCTCAGAGCCGTTTATAATTGTTGTCACCTAAACCTCACCAAAAAGAATTGGACATTCAAAGAGCACAGCTCACAAGAAATGAAGTGATTTTTCTCCCCCCATCACCTGCATCTCTGGATAGAGAGACATATGTGAGTCATTATGAAAGTTTTGAGATACACAAAAATCAAGAAACATAAAATCCCCACGGATGGAAACAACTGAAACCTTCCCAGCAATACTGATAAGCCGATCACATTGAAACTCATGTGGCTGAATCAGAAAGGATGCTGTTGACTGTGTTTTGTGGAAGTGAAATAATGGACCATAACACAGTCTATTTCAAAACTTTCACAGTGACCCCCATAAAGGCTTCTAGTTGGCAAAGTGTAAGCACTTGGGTTTCTTCTGGGTGCAGACGTTTTTCTATGTGCTTTAAGAATTTCTATTATTTGAAGGGTCTCTTTGAAAATCTCTTGCTCACTTTTCAAGACTTACTCCTCAGTGACACTGAACCATTATTTCTACCACAGGTGTTCAGGTCTAGACAGAGATCTCAACTTTATTTATATCGTGAATTGGAAAGAAAGAGATTTTCACACCTAACCAATAAGCGTTGTCCATATCAGAAGGTAAGGTTCATGTTCTATGCAAGTGAAATGTGTTGATATGTTGTTATGATGACTCACACACACAAAGCACTTTGGAAGCATCATCTAATGAGCTTTTCTTATAGGTGAAAGAGAACAGAAGGACCAGATGGCAACCACCACATGTATGTGTCAGTACAGTAGGCCTAGTTCCTTATGTTGACCACCTCTATATGGGGACCAGTTTGTTACAGCCCCTGGGTGGACAACTTACAGTAGGCTTTGTGGATGGCACAGTCTGCTGTCACTACTCAGCTTTGCCGTCATTGTATAAAGGCAGCCAGGGACAATATGCAAGCAAATGTGGGCTACTATACTCCAACAACTTTTATTTACAGATTATACTGAAATTTGAAGTTCATATCGTTTTTGCATATCACAAAATGTTATTTTCCTTTTGGTTTTTTTCAACAATTAAAATATGCAAAAACTTTTCTCTGCCGGCAGGGCCAGACGGAAACAGGTGGTGGGCTGGATGGGGCCCACAGCCCATAGTTGACTGACTCCTGCTTCGGCCCATAGTTTTCAAAATAAGACACATAACCTCTTTACTTACATTTCATATTCGAGCACTTTGTCAACATGAACTCATTCCACTTGACTTGATGAGAAGATCAGGGGAACCATGAAAACACACACAGGACAATGATTGCAGTTGTAAATCCGAGTAATTTTGGATTTTATTTTTTATAGAGTTATGAGGGAAATATCCAAGAAAAAAGATCAAGAGACAGCAAGAATTATTATTATTGTTATTATTATTTTTACAATATGTACATTGAGAAAGACTGTAGCATTTTTTTCTTTTACTTTTATTACTCTTTGAGTTGAATGTGTCCCCGGAGAAAGTACTCCCAGATTTCTAATGGCTTTTGAATTTTGCTTTATAACAAATGAATATTCATTATTCTAGGTTATAAAAACCTAATTAAATTATTTTCTGATTATAACATTTGTATTTATTTAATTTAGAATACATGCAAAACGCATAAGAACATTTCTGTTGGTGAACCAAATGTTGGATAAAATGCTTGGCCATTTGACTGGAAAGTTTAGAGTTTAACCTTGCAGATTCACGGTGAAGCAAAGTTCTCGAATTCTAAATATTTGTTGGTAAATGTTGCTCCATCAACTACTTGGAAATCTGTTTTTCATCAGACTGGGTAAGGCCTGCTCAGCAAACAAAGCAGCAATTAAGTAGGACTCCAGCTAAAAAATAGCCTCTGTTGGTATTCTCCTTGTGCCTATACAAAGTTGGTTTGTTCCTGGCCTCAATCTACCTACCCTTCTCCATCTTTCATATCAAATATCCAAACAACCTCTGTGAGTTTATGAATATGTTTTGTGACAGGTTCATGATCCACTGAGGGTCCGCACAGCTGTTCGTTCCTTGAGAAGCCCAGGCTATGGAACTGTGGCTTACTCTAGTCCTCCTGCTTGTAAGGAGGTAAACTCCAAGTGGCACCCTGGAGCTTCCCTTTAATGGGAATATGAACACTTAGCCTGAAGCTGTTGCTGACTTACAGAGCTTTCTTAAAGCAAATTCGGCTCCTTAAAGAAAAATCACAACAATTCTTTGCCTTCAAACCTCTCGTCCCTGCCCCCAACCCACACCCTCAAATCAGACGGGCCAGATGTTTGTGAAAACTGCCGTTTCCGCAATCAAAAGTACAACATTTACTATAGTTTTTATCAAAGATTTCAATTCCCCTCATCTTAAGGAAAATGACCCTTTTATTTTGTTGTGGACATAAAATTATGGCCCTGGGAAAATTGGAAGCATTTCTGTTGAGGGAAATCAATTTTCTCACTGCTATATATGATCAACATGTCACAGTCATCACCCAGATAATAATAGTAAAGTACAAGTAAAATGGCTGGTAATACTGGCTTTAAAGGTAGAAAAAGATAGAAGCAAGATAACACCTCCCCCCACCCCCACCCCCCATTAGAGCATGTTTGCAAAAAGAAAAAAGAAAACCCTCTAAGGCTTATTTTTGTTCTGTAATTTTCTTCCTTCCTGCCCCACGTTCTTGCCTTTGCTGGCGCTTTCTCGAGTGTGAGTATCTTATTTTTGTGTGTGTGCTAATCAGCCAAAGCATTAATGAAACTGTAGAGATATGTGTCCTTCCTGGAAGAGAGTAAGCACTTTATGTGTAAACCACTCTGGCTCCTTTTCAATCATCCTGTTAATGGGTGGCTAATTGTCAAAAGATGTGACCGGACTGAGATGACCCAAGAGTGTGTTTAGGTGGGAGGCAACAGGGAGAGTACAGAAGCGGCTTCTTAATTTGGATCCTGCAAACAAAAGGAAACATCAAATCTGACCTCGCTGCTGGAGTGTTAATGGCTTTCTCCCCATCTCCCTCTGCCACTTAGCATCTTTTGTGCCCCACCCTGGGAAGCTTCCCGGCAGAAGTGTGCATTAGCAGAACTCTACAGTTACCAAATGCTGCTTGCTACAGACAAGGGAAATAAAAAAAAAAAAAAACCCTTCAGGGTGATTAAATGTTTTTTGGACAAACACATCCATAGCCATCAAAGTGCCATCTTTATTTCAGGCAGGCCTCTCAGTGATGTCCCTGCTGTGACCACCAGCACAAAGGAGTGTTGTACCTAGAATGTCACTGAAGTCCTTCAAAGAAGATCTAAACACTGTCTTCCTCTTTATAGGAAAGTGGGCCCCACACGTGAATGTGGGAAACGAAAGCTGCATCCATGTAGGCCAAGGTCATAACTGAGCCAAGAGCAGACAGGCTTTTGGCAAAACATCAAATATTTTAAATAATTCAACCGTTTGAAAAAAAAAAATGATGGTGCTTGTTTTGGAATAAAAATGAGAGTGGGGGGGGAATAGGGAATGAGAGGAGAAGCTAACCAAAGAAACCTGGCCTACGTGGCTCTCAGAAAAGGTTTGTACGCAAAGATGTTCATGGAAATATTATTTAGAGTGAGAACGAATCTAAGTAGCAATAAAGGATTTAAAAATATAAACTATGGATAACATATTATGCAGCTATTAAAAATAGTAGTGCTGGAAAAAAGAGGTAAGACTAAAGAAATAAAATCCGTCCTGCGAGTTTGAGTAAAAATAATGAAGTTATAGCCACAGGGAAACATGCTCAGGAAATATACTAAAAGGCAACATACTAGAATATTACGGTGCATAGGGACAGCACTGTTATGGGTAAATAGGTTTTGTCTTTTACTCATATTAGTAGGGAAATAGATATTGCTTTGGTTCATAAACAAACAAAAAGCGGGCAGAAATAAGCCCTCAGAAACCCTTTTTTGGTGAGTGAGAACATGATTCAAAAAGAAGGATCTTTTTTTCCTCCCAGATTTTTATCAGAATTTCATAACACATGTCTCCAATATTTAGGTGTTGAGCTGGGAATACAAAGACCCAGTGGGATCTTTCAAGCCCAGAGGAGATGATTTCACAGCGGTGCACCAGACCCTCCCCACCCCCCACCCCCAGCACTGGCCTTCAAAACATCATCCGCCTCTGGGCAGCAATTTCCACAGAGAAAGTGACATGGAATCTGGAGATCCTCGATGTTGCCTGATGCTCGATGACATCTAAATAAATAACACTGGGACTCAAAGAGGACGAAAAGAAAGCTGACTTTTCCCCATTTATTTTGTAACCTTCTTTTCCCAAACCCGTTTTTCCTTGTTAGCTGGATATGTGCACAGCTCATCTGCAGGTTTACTTCTAGCTCAATATCTCCTTTTAAAAAAAGGCCAGAGGTTATCTGGGGCATGCATATCCCAGCCCACATTGCCAAAATGAGGGTTTTAGCAGATCAGGTCATAAGTAAGCTCTCCATCAGGAAAAGGCCACACTCGGATGAGGGACACCTGGGTGGCAGCCACCCCACTTAGCCCTACCCAGGCGGGGCTCTTGGCTCTCCAGACAGCAGCGTGGACCATGTGTTGGAAATTATCAAACTCAGTGGCTTATTGGAGTGGAATGGTTGGAAGAGAGGTGTTCAAAGAACACTTCCTGTCAGTTAGTAAAAGCGCATCAATAAAAATAAATCAATGCCCACTTGTTTTCTAGGAATCTGCTTCATATTCAGCAAAGGCTCCCATTATGCTGCATTCCTGATAGACTAGCCAAGAAAAAGATGTGATTTCAGTGACAGTAAAATATCTTGAAGAAAAAAATTTAATTCTGAGATGCTGAGTCTTCCACTATGGACCCAAATGTCAAGCATCGATAAACTCAGACATAAAATTAAAAGTAAAATAAGAAATGCCACGTAAGAGACATTTGCAAAACAAAATGAAGAGTAATACTGCGGTATGGGGACTACCTTGGAATTAATGAAATAATTAGAACTGAAAACTTTAGTTAAAGTGCAGATTTCAAAGGAAGAGAAAGGTGTTTCTTAATAAATGCCATGAATAAAAATATCCTGTGGCTTATCAAGAAGTTGAGTGTGAATCACCTGCATTGGCTTGAAGAACTTGAGTTTGATTTTGACCTTATTCATTGGCCTTCTGTGTGGCTTTGATTAAGTATTCTGTCCCAGCTTTGGCTTTAGCAAGAGTAAATTCAAAGTGTTGAACAACATCAGAGCTTGTACACTGGTGCTCATCCCACCTCCTAGCTATGCCACTCTTATAGCAAGAGTGGCCCTTACCTCCTAGGCCTACTGAGACCTCTGCACCCTGTTAGGCAGTGCACCTGGCAGCCACTATTAACTGATAAGTTTAGATGTAATGGATAAAAATTTCCCATTGCAGGCCGAAATAAGTTCCTAGGTTTTTGCTCCTCCATGACCCTGTAAACTCTTTCCTAACCCTCAAGAGATCAGACTTAAGATGTTTTTCATTAAGTGTGTGAATACCTAACTCCATCGACACTCCGTAGGCTCCAGATCAACTTTGTTCCAAATTTACATCCAAGCATTTCTACCTTTCAAGAATTACTGTGCCAAAAGCACCAGCTTATCTAATTGCTACTTCTCTGTTTAGTAGGCAATTTGTACAAATAGCAGACAGAAAATGTTTCTCTGGCGGGAGTGACCTGGCAATCTCCACTGCAACCATCTGTACATTATAGTAAGAAGGCTCACACTATCGATTCTTCACTAATTTTATTAATTCATTATTTTAGTAGTTGACACACAATTATATACATAATTTTATCTTTTCTCCAAAATTCATAGATTTCCCAAGTAGAGCAATATTGACCCCTTCGGAAGACCCAGCTGGTTCATGTACCAGAACCCCATCAAAATGCAGCTATGAAAACAGATGCCACGTCCCTTCTCCAAAACCTCAAGTAGCCCCACTGTCTCGGCACCTACAGACTCATTGCTTTGTGCTTTCTAGCCCGCGGTTCCCTGGATTTGTCACTGTGCCCAGCTCCCATGACTTACCTTCATACTGTCACTCCATTCAGAGAGACCTGCTTGCTGTCTCTTTATCGCAGGCTCGGGGAAAGTGAGCCAAGTGAGGAGATGATGACAGTCCAGATCTAAAGAGACATATTCTCAGAACTGTGTGCAGTGGCTCTTAAATTTTGTGCCCTAAGAAAATCACTCGGCCCTGCCTTGTACCATCAACTAAATGTAACAATTTATATTTCTTTTTTGCTTTTCAGCTCTTCAAAGCCTATAAATATGGATGATCTAATTTTATCCTCTCGATCCTCTGAAAGGCCAATGTTATTATTTCTCCCATTCTACAGAATGAGAAAAATCTGAGTTTCATAAAAATTAAAGTTAAGGGGCATCAGAGTTGGAACTTGCTATCAGGTCTTCTGCATGTGAGCAGAATTTCCCCTTATAATGAGTCTATAACCCCTTTTTATGTGCTCTGTGAAAAGAGTTTTCTCTTCCTTCAAAATCCACACTTTCATCTGGTCAGTTCTAACTATTTCAGGTATTCCATGATTTTCCTTGTACCCGTGTATTATTTCTCATCCAGTTTGTGGATGTCTATTATGTATTATTATTGCTTACCTTTTCTTTCTGAGGTTCTGTTCCCTTAACAGATTGCATACTCTTTGAAGTAAGATATGCAATAAATACAATTTTTTATTTTTATGGAGCCTAAACTTGTC